TAATACTGTTTTCATTCCATGGATCTTTTTTGTATGAGCTTAAAAACAAATGCATGTTTTATCCTTGCAAATACTTCAGCGGTACTGCTCAGATTTATCACAATAATCATACCTTATTTTCTTTTTGAAATAATTGCAGTTGTATGCATTGTGTAGTCAGATACCTCCGTGTCTCACTATCGGTTTGCATCACAACTTCCCATGCCAGCATTATACCCCAAGCCAGATGGTGTTGTCATTACGAGATCTGTATGTTTTATAAGATCATAGATAAAGAGCTCAATAATTTCTTGTAATTAAGACCAAATTTAATTCCAGGCATGGTTAAGTGTGCTGTGGGTGAAAATAAAGAAATGTGTTGTATTTAAAAATAATGTTGATAACTTGAATTTTATTCTGCTGTATTACTACTTGTAGATGTCTGTCAACGTAATGTAAAATCTGGTTTCCTATGTTATATACTAATGCTACCATGCTGCAAGGCAAAAAATCAAAAAATCATTTCAGGTCTGTAGGTAAGGAAAGGGAGAAGTTGTATAGCTTGTAGTTTGGATTTGTGGATCAGTAATACTATTATTTTGAGATTTTTAATCCTTCAAAAGTTTTTCTCTCCCCATCTCCCCTTTTTTTACTTTAAACATGCTCTGCCTATTTCCCAAGGAGAATGAAGGTTTTCTTTTATTTGTTCCATCCACTTACTCACTCGCTGAGTTTTGAAGTGGAGTAAGTGGTGGCTTATAGATCAAGTTAAATGGTCTCCAGAGAAAAACATAAGAATGGCAGTATTTGTCTAAGAAATGGGGAAACCAAGGAGCTATTTTTGTCCTTTTAGATAAGTTTTGGACTTCCTGATTTGTTGTAGGGAACACCTGATGATGTCAGGTATTGGTTTTAACTTTTTCAGCCCTTAACATACATACTTTTCCACCTATGTATTTCTAACTCTTATGTCCTGAAGTGGTATTTAACAAGCTTAACGTAAGCATTTGCAATTATCTAATAGCACCTGAAAATTACTTACTAAATGACAGGAGGAAGTTTCATTTGCATTCCATATCTCATGTTAAATCTGCTAATCCTCCAGAGAGTCTGCCAGGAAAAACAATGTAGACAGACTTGAATTTTATTAAAATCAGAAATCAAGCATACAGCTTCCTCCTATTCTGTTACACACTGCAACATAAATCTTAAAACCTCCTGGAATATATTAATTCTTTCAGCCATTGTATACCTCATTGTTTTCTTGATACGTGCTTCAGTTACAAGTTCGTTACAGCCCTTCCCTCTTGGGTCTTCTTCCCTCAGCCCAGGAAAGCTATGTCTCCATGTTTGCTCTTGTTTATATAAGTTAATCTTCTGTGTTGTGACAGTTTTTTCATTCATTAATGAGAGTTCCTAATTGGTCATAATGAAATGTTTATTCATACTACTAGATAATATTATATGAAAGTACGACAGAGATAAGAGACTATGAAGAAAATAAGCACTTTAAGGATTTTTGGATATGAGCAGCATTTTTTTTGCCAATATTTTCCTATTTATTTAAGAATGACTGCTGGTGCAGCTGTGTAACTAAGACCGTGTCGCACAGCATCCATTATTTATTGGCCTGGTTAGCAAACAAGGACACCTTTGACTACATCAAATCATGAGATCAATTTACTGTGCTTTACAACAGCTAAAGACTAGCTTTTTTGTATTTATATTCCCTAAAATTTTCCATTTGGCATGAGCTTCTCTGGGGAAACCAGCACAGGAAAGCAATAGGACCTTAGGGGAGGGGAGCAGGAGAAAGCTTGAATTTGTAGAAAGCTGGCACAAGTGTAATTGTGGCTTTTATTTGCTACCCAGGTGCATCAGATCAAGTTACGGGCCAGTCTCTTCATAAAGGCAAAATTTCATCAAACTGCAGAAAACATGTGAAGGAGATTAATTTTGCAACTATTATGCTTTGAAAAGATACAATGCTTTATCTTCCCACAAAGTAAAAAAAGAAAAAAAGAAAAATTATACTGAGCTGCCCCAAATACGTTACAGTATTTGCTAGTTGATTAAAACTGGCTTGCCAATTTGAAAGTTACTTGCTTGAGGCATAGTTTAGGCCCTTGCAAAGGACATAAATAGAGCTGTTTTGCAGGGGACCCATGGAGAAAGATGTTGGCATTAAAGACAAAAAACAGGTTCTTGTCACACCTTTACCAGCAACACTCAAGCAGCCTGTGTGTGTTAAGGGCCTGATACTGCCCCACTGAAGCTAGCACAAACTGGATCTCTGATTGCCCACAGATGTAAGAGCAAGTTGACTGCGATCAGGAACTTAAAATTGGCACCTACTTGTGCTGGAGATACTGGAGTTATGTGTTACTGGACTTCCTGTCCAGAGGAGGCCACAAAGATGCTCTGAGGGCTGGAGCACCTCTGCTACGACTACAGGCTGAGAGAGCTGGGCTTGTTCAGCCTGGAGAAGAGAAGGCTCCAGGAGACTTTAGAGCAGCTTCCAGTGCCTTAATTGGCTGGCAAGAAAGCTGAAGAGGGACTTTCTACAAGGGTCTGTAGGGATAGGATGAGGGGGAATGGCCTTAAGCTGACAGAAGGGATATTTAGATTAGATATTAGGAAGTTCTTCCCTGTGAGGCGTTGGCACAGGCTGCCCAGAGAAGCTGTGGCTGCCTCATCCCTGGCAGTGTTCAAGGCCAGGTTGGATGGAGCTTTGAGCAACCTGGTCTAGTGGAAGGTGTCCTTGCCTGTGACAGAAGTGTTGGAAATGGATGGTTGTTAAGACCCCTTCCAACCCACACTATTCCATGATTCTGCTGTATTCTTGACTTCACGCTTTGGCATCAGTTTCTATAATTTTTTTTTTTTTAATAAAATTAAATTTGTAGCACTTCTGATTTTCAGCTGGTGAAGACTTTATGGTGTCTTTGTGTTTGAACTCCAGTAATGGATGACAGGAGATACTTATGGGAAAGAATAGCAAAGTACAAGCTGCAAATAGAGTTACAGTGATACTGATGACAACAGGAGAGACCTATCTTCTACATCAGAAAGAGGGGACATTACTGAAGAGCTGGCCAACTCAATTATGCATAATTGCATTTCATATGCTGTGCTTTGGGGTGGTTTTGTTTTTAAATCACCAAGAAAGAATTCTCCTCTGCGTGGGAAACAAAGAACCCTTAAGTTAGACTTTGTGCTTCTTTAGTTGTTGCCTTTTTATCGGATTGGCTGTTTTCATGGAAAGTATAATTTTATAAAAGTTACGTTAATGTATTTTGCTTCCGGTACTTAGGAAATTTTGTTACTACATTGACTTTAAATCTTCAACTCATTCAGAATAATAGGTGTGGTATTAATGTAGGGGTTTGGTACACTATGTTTTTTATTCTCTTGGTTGTATCATGTAAGCCTGATCCAAAATACCATAAAGCAGAAGAGCAGGATCGAATAGCAGGGGAATTATTGTCTATGAAGAAAACCAGAAATTTGTCAGCTGGGATAGAAATTCTGTCACCTCTTGACACTGGAATAAAAGGTCATTTTGTAAGAAAAAGTTTGATCTGAAGACTATTAAATACTGATGGCAAAGGACAGAGTTTTGAAGCACTGATTTGAACTGTATGGAACGAAAGGAGACTTGAGGAAGAGCTGTTGTCTGTAAACATAAACTGGTAGAGCTAAGAATGCTAGAGAAAGGAGAAATTAGGTTGGAAGGTATTTGGATTATTCGTGAAGTTACTGTAGTGACAGGACAAGGGGTAACGGGTTAAAACTTAAAGAGGGGAAGTTTAGATTGGATATAAGGAGGAAGTTCTTTCCTGTTAGGGTGGTGAGGCACTGGAATGGGTTGTCCAGGGAGGTTGTGAATGCTTCATCCCTGGCATTGTTCAAGGCCAGGTTGGATGAAACTTTGAGTGAGATGGTTTAGTGTGAGGTGTCCCTGCCCATGTCAGGGAGGTTGGAACTAGATGATCTTAAGGTCCTTTCCAACCCTAACTATTCTATGATTCTAAGTGTAGTAGCAGCACTGTCTCCTCTTTTCCCTTTCTCCTATCCTGTGTAGTGTGACATTTCAATGATCTGTTTTGGAAGACATTAAGGGTCATGAAATAGACTTTGCAGGCAACAGCTAAATGGCAGAATATGATGTGGGTTGATTTGTTAGCAGAAAAGCATCAAGTCATAATATAGAATCATAGAATAGTGATACACAGGTTTGTCTCCTGACAAATTAAAAAAAGAAACAACCACTAAAAGTAAGTGTACATTTGAATTGTGTACCTCGAGTGTGTGCTAGTGAGGCAAGTCAAGAGGGTTATAAACAGCCTGTCTTTGATGCTGCAGGATATCACTGTGCAAATAGTGTGTGCTTAATTGGAGAGAGCTGTAACTTTGTTTTAGATTTAATTGGGATTTTGCAGCGGTATTAGGGATTTGGCCAACATTTTTGTGTTTCTGTTTCAGTGAGGAATGAACTGCGGGGGACCTGTTTACTTTATAGTTTGCTAATAACCTCTAACCTTTAGGTTACCTTGCTGCTGATGAGTGCTTCTATTTTGGTCAAAGCATGTGTTGAAAGTTTGAATATCTCTAGAGTGTGAAATATTTATTCATCTGTTATTGTGTAGTCCCGCCCAGGTCATTGCCTGAGTAATGTTTTTCCCTTGCAAGAGAAATAAACTCATCATTATGGAAGGACAGAGTAGTCTCATTGCTTCACTTTTTATCTGTCATTTGTCTTTCAAAACTTCGGGGTATCACAGGAAGGAGGGAATCTATTTCCGCAGTAGGATAGCACTCTGTAAGATAGAGCCACATTTTTTAGTTCAGGCGCTTCTTTGTATATTTTGTTATGAAAACCACCACACTTCCAGGTTTCTTTCTTAATTCTTAATTTAAATAAGGACATATAGTGTTTCAGCTAACTAGTTCCTTCAGGACAGAATTATGACTATCAGTTGCTGTTTGTTTCCCACACATTCTTCTTAATCCTTCCTTAGATCCTGGGCTACAATCAGAAGAAATCTTAACCGTTCACAGAAAATAGTCTTGGAGGTGCACTGAAACGAGAGGTATGCCACGGCTTTCTCAATATCTACTGAATTATATTCATATTTGCAAAACAAAACTTAAGCTAAGCCCCCAGTGTATAAAGTTGAACTTTCTATTGATTGGTTTGTTGTCAAAGCCATCTTTCAAATAATTCCCATCTGTGTAAATTGCAAAACCCAAACCAACCAAACAAGCAAACAAAAAAAAAAAAAGAAACCAAGGAAAAGAAGTCAAATCCTTTGACTTCTCTGCCATGGTATGAGTACCATTTTCAGTTCAGTGCTTGGATTCATTTGGAGCTTCCTGCACAGGTGTAGTGTGCATCTACACAGGCCTTTGCAGGGGTATGCAGAGCAATTTCTGAATGAATGCATTTGGCAGCTCAAAGTAACATCTCTGGTTTGGCAGGAGCCTCCACTCAAGCTGGTTTCTCCTGCTGGGAATTTGCATGGGCGGGGTGCCATTTAAGCTGGTTCTGTCTCTTAATACCTGAACTAGGTCTCCAGTATCATTGCTATTTGCCATACATACCTCTGTGTGTGTGTGTACGTCTAAATATCAAACTGACCAAAATGTTCATCAGTTAGTTCTTCTTCTCCACAAAGCCCTTATCAAAGTACCTAGGAGGACCCAAACAAATGTGCCCATAACCTCTATCACATCCTCTGAACATGCTGCTTTGCAATTCTCCAAGACTTGTGTACCATCATCAGGTGTCTTCCTTAGCGTCTCTGTAGTATGCGCTTTAAGAAGAAATAATTTGAATTTACACTTGCAATTTTTAACGATGTGCCACTGGAAAGCACACTTACAATTCAGATGATGTAGCTTATCTGAAGACAATAGACATAAACTGATCTGTGTCAGATAAGGAATTTGACTTGAGTTCTAGGCTGTTGGTGTTAAAAATGGCATTTGTCTGTGTTTTGCTTTCTTTAATGGTATTGTAATCCTGTCTGTTTCAAGTACGATATAAAGGAGTTCAGTTTTCATGTTGATTTTTAGGAATGCTTATAAGAATTCTGTGAGATTGTCATTCCTTGGAAGGGTAAATGGGTTAAAGAAATATTGTCAGCTTTTTTGTTTGTGGAAGTTTAAAGACTCTGTACAGGATCCTGGCCAGCAGAAGGCAGTAACTGCTCAGCTTTGCACTGATCATCATTACATGTTCACTTGCATTAGCCGTCTTCACAGTACAGACCTACGGACCGAATTTTCAATGTTTTAGGAACACTTAATAGGAAATTTCTTGTTATACACACTCAGTTCTTTATGATTCCCTCTAAATAATGTGTTCCCTTTCTTTCTTAGGCCCAAGGGTTTTACTTTTCATGTACAATGGTACTCAGCATGTTGTTATTCTATCCCATGCTGGCCGGAGCCTTTCTTCCGTTCTTCATCCTTTCAGGAAATAGGGTTTCAGCTGAGAACATCAACTTTTACAATGTGAGACCTCCACTAGACCGTAAGTAGAGAGTTAACACTTTTTTTGTGTATGCAATTGTAGCTTAACATTTTAGTTAATTACCATATTCTTTCAATCCTTTGTTTTTTAGGTGTTTGTCTTCTTCAAATATAAAGGATAAAAAGTTTAAAATAAAACTGCTTTTCAACCCACAGCAGTTTAGTTTATTTCTAAGATTTTAGAAGTAGACTGAAAGAAAACAAAGACTTGCATGCGTTGCTCAATTAAAGAATTCATGAGGGCTTTCACATTTTAAGTGCTTTTATTCTATTTTTCTGTCTCTGAAATGTCTTCCTACAGAGCAAATTATGCAGTGGGTTTCTCAGAAATAATACAGAACAGATGTTTTTGTCTTTTATCTTGTTGAGGTTTTTTTGTAAGGGAAAGAATAGGTGTGCTGTAAGCAATTAATTCAAACTGAAGGCAATTAAAAACCTCGTGAGACCTGTGAAGCCAGTTGTCACTAATAGCATCATTTTTTTTTGCCTCTTATCTAGCATCAGAATCATTCTATCCCTTCACTTAAGGAGAGAAAATTTTAATTATACATATCATTAAAATAGTCAGGACAGCTAGATATAATAGGTATATATGTGCATCTAGGGAACTGTACATCTTAAAATCATTTATATATTTGTATAATGTAAATAAAGTTTTAAAATAGTCCTCTTCAGAGCTGGAGGTTAAGATCTGAAGCCGATTTTGAAGATGTAGGTTTTTTCATCAAATGAATCTGTCGACAGTGTTTGCGTATGTGTATTAACATACATGTGGATTTAGTATCATGGGCATACATCTAAGGTGTTCTCTTTCTCCTGTTTTTCCACCACTACTTAAATGGTATTTTGGATTGTGACAGAATGAAAACAGGAGAAGGTGTTTTAAAGTTCAGACAGGCATAGCAAAACCAGTTAAAAATGTAAAATCTTTCTACAAAACTTGTTGCATAGGTGTCCTACAGTGATGTATCATTGAAAATATGTATGTAATACGTTTTTGTAAGCAGTGTGTGTACAAGCTCAATATTATTTTGAATTTTTTTTTATTAATACATGCAAACTTACTATATTTTAATACTTTTAAAGCCACTCCATTTCCAAACAGTTTTAAGTGCTTTACTTGTGATAATGCAGTGGACAATTACGACTGTAACAGATGGGCTGAAGATAGATGGTGTCCTGAAAGTAAGTGCATCTGTACTAAGGGGATTCTTTGTGATAGTTGTATTTCCTTCTCCTTGACTCAGCCATCTTGTAGAAGTTGAACTGAATAGGATTAACATGCCAACACAGTGGTGTCCTCAGTTATATTGTTAGCAATACTGAATCATGCGTTTCTGCTGAGGTGAATGTTTTGACCATTTCAGAGTGCAAAGCTACAGTGAAAAATAATTTATATCTACATTTATGTAATAAACATTCAATATAATATATAACAATACAATATATATAGTATATATATAGTATAGTAGGTATATTAACAATATATCAACTACATGTGTGTGGATATACACATAGCTATGTGCTTCCTAGGAATTAAAGATGTTGTTTAAAAAAACTCTAGAATTGCCTTTGCAAGCTTATCCCCGTCTTTTTGGATATCATCCCAATATGAAATATTCTCCCTATGCTGTAGGCTTGCTTGTAAAGCAGCAAGACCTGAACGACTGGGCATCATACTTGTATGAGAGAATAATAGATATGTAGAAAAGAGTGGAAATATGCTTCCTCATTTTTCTTTGCAGTCATATTCACAGTAACAGTGGGAAAGTGGAAGAAAAAAGCTAGAGGAATGAGGAAACGCGTCCAAAACAAAGCAAGCAAGAATGGTCTGCAAGAAAGAGTAGAGAATGGAAGATAAATGTGTAGATTTTAGTACTAAAAAGTAGTTTAAGAGATAGCAGCCTTTCTGGAGTTTTGAAGGATTAGTTAAGTTGAAGATTTCATCATTAATTAATTTCTTGCTAAATGGTATTATAATTAAGTTGCACAATGGCTTTATATAGCCAAAATAAGTATTTTTATGAGAATATTTTTCTAATTAGTGTGAAGCTTTTAAACCCTGTAAAAGAATGCATACTTTGCCTAACTAAACATTTCAAATTTTATTTTGTAGGTACTCAATACTGTTTGACAGTTCATCTCTTCACAGACCATGGGAAGAGTACATCAGTCACCAAAAAGTGTGCCACTGGAGAGGAATGCCATTTTGTAGGCTGCCACCGTCACAGGAAAAGTGGCCACACAGTAAGCACTGCTCTTTGTGCCAGAGCAGCACATTGGTTTTGAGGTTTGCATTTCAGTACTTGTTTTTCCTGATGAGCTGAAGAGGATGTGCCAAGATACACTCTCCAGTATTTAACAATAGACATCAAATTTCTGCAACAGAAGCATGACTACCCCAGTCTTCCTCCTTTCCTGTTTGTGTTGCTGTATGACAGGATGTAATAACAACTTCTAAAGAAACATCTGAGCTTTCTGGGGCAGTGTTAGTGTGTACCAAATGCATGGGCCTTGCTTTCTGAGTAAGGTGCCCAGGTAGGCTATGCAACCTGTGCTGATACTTGTGGTGCTGCAGCTGTGTCACTGTCAGCACCTGAGCAAACCAGACTGGGAGTAAGGTACTGCATAACACAGTTCTCTGCATAACACAGCTTGGACAACACTGCCCAGCACACAAAGTGAGACTACTTGTCCATGAGGGCCATACTCTTAAGCAAGATACAACTTGAGTTTTTGTTACATGACAAAAACCTTGAACTGCTGACTTCTCTCATGCTTTGGATCCTAGGTAAAAGCTTATTCTTAATAATCAGACATACCCTACCAAAGTGTTATTCTTGACTTACTGCAGTAAGTCAAGTCCTGTAGGAGGAAGTCCAGAGGAGGCCTTGAGGATGCTCAGAGGGCTGGAGCACCTCTGCTACGGATACAGGCTGAGAGAACTGGGCTTGTTCAGCCTGGAGAAGAGAAGGCTCCGGGAGACTTTAGAGCAGCTTCCAGTGCCTTAATGGGCTGACAAGAAAGCTGAAGAGGGACTTTTTACAAGGGTCTGTAGGGATAGGATGAGGGGGAATGGCCTTAAGCTGACAGAAGGGATATTTAGATTAGATATTAGGAAGTTCTTCCCTGTGAGGGTGGTGAGGCACTGGCACAGGCTGCCCAGAGAAGCTGTGGCTGCCCCATCCCTGGCAGTGTTCAAGGCCAGGTTGGACGGAGCTTTGAGCAACCTCGGCTAGTGGAATGTGTCCCTGCCCTTGGTAGGGGTTTTGGAACTAGATGATCCTTAAAGGTCCCTTCCAAACCAAACCAAACCATGATTATCCACTAATTCCTTAGTAGTTGTGAAAGTTAGTTATGTTATTTTTAACATGAAAGATTTCAGACAACAAAACCGAACTTGTCAGTACAGTTAACATGGCTGTATTCATCACATCGTAGTTCTGAAGCCTGGTGAGAGCACTAGCTTGTGAGTTTACTCTAGGAAGGCTGGGCTGCATGATTTGGAAGAAGAGTTGTAGCATATATGCTCCAACTGCTGCCTTTGGTCAGGCTGCCAGGCAGAAACAATGAGTCTGTTTAGGTGTAACCTTTGCAACCTGTTGATAGAACATATATCTTTAAAAGCTACTGCTGAATTAGCCTATGTCAAATGATCTCCTTTTTCTCCACAGGAATGTATTTCTTGCTGTGAAGGAATGATTTGCAATGTAGAAATACCAACAAACCACACAAATGCAGTATTTGCTGTATTGCATGCCCGAAGAACATCAGATGGCAACAAGTGGACAGTCAACATTGCAGTACTTGTGTCAGTCATGGTGGCCATGCTGTTGTGATGCAACACCCTCCTGTTAGATCTGCTTGAGAGGGTCTGCCTGTCTGTGTGCTGTCAGAAACTGTAAGAAGATTGGTTTAGTATGTGCAAGGAGAAATCACTGATACTTCTTAATTATGGGGACAGTGGAAAGGAAAGGGTACATGATGAAGTCCTTGGATATTTTAGTGAAGATACTTCATATAGCCTGCAGTATTCCAAAAAAAGCTAAACACAGCCACCCACTGATTGGGATGAACTCACGTTATTATAATTCACTATTTTATGATAAAAATGCACATATGCTTGGCATGTTTTTTGAACAGAGAAAAGTATCTGTAGACAATCACAAGATAAAAAAGAACTGTCAGTGGATGATGTACCAACAAGTATCTCAATGGCAACTCTTTTTAAACTGGTTTTCATTGTGCATAAATAACAAGGAGTTTCTTGTCTTGATCAACAGATGTATTTAAGCTTATCTTCAGTTATGGTTTTCATAGAGAACATGTATGGTTTTCATAGAGAACATATATGATAAATTTATTTTTCTGTTTTGACCAGAGCTGTTGTTTCTACTGGAAATAATACAAAATAATTCTTTTTATCTTTCCTTCCTGTAAAATGTCTCACACTCAGATTTTAAACCAGTGTGAAATTGTGTAGAATTTCTGTCTAAAAACAATGAATTGTTTGAGCGCCTAAATCAGAATTCCTTCACCATGCTAAAGGGATCATTTTCTTTCAGTAGTGTCTCGCCTCAGCTGAATCTTTGTCATATTGTTCAAAGTGGTGGTAATACCATGACTCTGAAATTGGAGGTACAGTCAAGCAGCTGTGTTATCATAAAAATTGTAAGTGAGCACTTGGTATAAACAAAGAGAGAAGCCTACCATGTTCTGTCTTAATTTGCAGAAGTTTCTCCCAGAAATATTGCCGTCTTTGATGTGTCTTCGACTTGTAAGCCTGTGCTATTGGACATCCCGGGCTTCCGGACATCATTGTTACACACCTTTGGCACCCTCATTTGAAACGTTTGGGTCGAGATTCTATTTTTCAGTACAGCTAAGGATTTGACCTGCCTAGCACTTTGCTGTTTTCTTTTTCTAAACTATTTTATTAATTTATTAATATACTGATTTGATTATGAATAAAATAGGTTGTTCTGATCTTTCCCTGTTTTCAATTTCTCATTTCTTAAATGAGATGGTTCAAATTATGATTAACTGTTGAAATAATTTTCAGGAAGGACAGATTATTGAAACTTACTCTCAAAAAGAGAGTCAAAACTGTTCTCTAAAAAATTCAAGTAACTATAAATTGGATTTTTTTTTTTTTACATAAATGTTGGCTTGATTATTTGCAGGTTTATGTCACTAAATTTATTTAGACATTTAGCAGTTGAAAAAGAGATTCTGGACCATTTTTGGTTTTGTTTATATTCTAAAAATGCCTACACAATATTTTTGGAATATCTGAATATGTCTAAAAACCCATGATTCGTTGACAGGCAATGGTGTAGCTACAAAAACTGGGTGGGAACACTTTTTCCTTGCTAATACAAAATAGTTCTTGCTGTCTAAAGCCAGATTTTCCAAGCTGTGGGTTCTCACGACTGTTGCTGTGCCATCCCACAGGTAGACATGATGAAGATGTTCCGAGGAAATTTTAACTTTGTTCAGTGATCACCCCTAGGTAATGTACCTGTAATATTAGTCGTGGTGTCAGACACAGTGACAAGCGCATTAAATATTTTTCATCATTAAACATCATGTTTTTGCTGTATGATGCTTGAATTTCTTTCCTTGTGGGAAATTCATTCCAGGTTTGCTCTCTGCTCAAAGTTGTCTTCACGTTTCAGGTCATGGTATTTTTCCTGGGTTTGCCTCTAAGCACTAGATGATCCCATAATTCAGTTTCTGGGAACAATTATTGCAGTCTTAACCAGGCCTTAAAGTATCCTATAGTCTTCTATGACTTTACTGTAAGTAATTTACAGTAATCTAAGTGCTGACAACTGTTTACACTGCAAATGCCACTCCAGAACATTTGAGAGTGCCGGGGAAACTCTGGAAGCTGCCCAGAGAGAGGGCTCAGGGGCAAACAAAATGGGCTGCAAGTTCTCTACAACTGCCAAGAGACCTTTGGGAAGGGATGTCTCCAGGTGTTTGTTTTCCTTGGTTAAACTGAATTATTTTTTTCCCCATTTGCAAGTCTGAAAAGTTAAGAAATTTGCTCATAATTTAAATACTTAATGCATTTGGTAAATAATTGCTTGGAATTAAAAAATAAAAATAAAAATGAAGAATTCCACTGACATGACAAAATAGCATGCTTGATTTTAACTGTCATCTTTTTAAAACTAACAATGAAGACAGCAACCTGTCTGAAATATATGAAAGCATTTGGTGATGCCAAAAGTTTATTTTTTAGCATAATAAAATTCCAGTAGTGGAGGATATTAAGGATGAGTTCTAGTCATCTTGTACATCAATATATTTGTTATTGCAAAGATTAGGAATATTGTTTCTAGAGAAAATGAATATGCAAAAGCTGTTAATGCAATATTAATGCTGCACAAATAGGCACTTGGCTGAAGAAATATAGAATTTAAGAGTGAGTATTAATTTTATCCTTTGCTGTGTTTTATGTATGTAAAAAACTGTATGCTTCTGCTCACATTCAATTTTAGCCCAGTGTTAAATGCTAACATTTTAGAAAAGCTGTATGTGCTGATTGTTAGAGAAAATAACCAGAGCACGTATTTTTGGCGTGACTAATGATTGACTGCATAGACAATCTTAACATTAATTTATGGTAGAACTTTTATATTTTATTAAATAGATTCAAGTATCAGCTGTATTTTCTCTTTGGATATTTGTCTGAAGTACTCATGGAAGAACTTAAAAGAGTTTTAAAAAAATCATTTTCAGGTGTTCCATAATGTATGTATTTCATGCATCTCAATTTTGGTTCACAGATGTCATCACTTGAATCTGTATGACTTGTTAGTGCCTAAATTAGCCCCACAGCTTTGGAAAGGACATATCTGTAAATGCACATCCATAACTTAATATGTAGACATGTGTTTGCTCATATTTCTATGTACATCCAGCTTCCAATAGTAACATGTTAAATACTGTATTGTCTGTCAGTAATGGCGCAAGGTGTTTATCTCTGGAGATAACAAGCACTGGGTAAAATCAGTGGGTGCCAAACTCATGTGCTTTCATGGGCAAAGTGGTCCCCTTGTGTTACCCTTAGAAACTGAAAAGAATTTATGAGTAATGGCAAGTAAATCAATTTGTGCAGTTGAGGGAAGTGTCATTTTATGATATATGTGTAATGATTATTTTTGTTTTACCTTGCACTGGACAGTCTGTAGAAGATTTATTTTTAAAAGCTTAAATAATTCTTCACTCTTCAGTGTTGGTTTGTGTGATGCTTTCTCATTGCTGCGTTACTGTTGTAAAACTTCTCCAGGAATGTCACTTTTAATTAAAAATATTAAAATGTTTCTGTTGGAAAACGTTTGTGATGAAAAAGGTAAAAATCCTTTTGCGGCTTAAGACCGCTTGCTTGTTGAACATGTTGAGCAGAAGTTGCACTGAGGGCAGATTCTGTGGATTTTTTCACTTAAGATTTATGCTAGAAATTCATGGAGAGGCAGTCTAGGAGGGATACAGAGGATACAGCAAGGTAGGAGGGATGCACAGCCAGCCAAAGACATGGGAATCAGCAAGCCTGGACAGGAGAGAGCACTTGAGCCCTGGGGTGAAGGGGGGGGGGGGGATGGGACAGATGGTTATTTTGACTTTCCTGGTTGATGTAATTGTTTCCAGGGACCTCTGATTTTCCATTGAGTGGAGATTTGCTTTTCCCCCAGGCAGCGTAAGTCAGAACCCTTTCAGTGATGTGAAAGAGCTCTGCCACTTCAGAAAATGGAAATAGTGAGAAACCATTCATCTCAGCTTGAGCCAGCTGAGAGAGGAGCACCTTCCCATCAGTTTGTCACAGATACATGAAGCTGAACAAGCGTGGTGCATATCAGCAGATGCACATTTAATTCTGGTTTCTAGATGAGAGTCACCCTTTTCTCCTGGCTTTACACTGTGAGGTGTGGCAGTGTAAACTGTGTAGCTCTATTGAAGAAAAGATCACTGGTACAAATAATCTATATATGTATGTCTGTGTATCTTGGGGAGACTGCTTCTTAAATAAACTCCTGCTACAGGTAAGGAAAGGCTGGCAGAATTAATTCAGTATAGTTTATAATTTCGTGTGCTTTGATTTTTACTAGCAGTGACTTCAGGAATCTTTAGGGAGGATTATTATCATGCTGGAGCAGTTTATCCTGATAATCATGCTACCCAGAGGCATTGAAAAGGCATGAAGAATACTAGAGTTAATTCGCATGTCTGAAAATGTGATTACTGTAATCATTACTGAAATAATTTTAGGTATAGCTTTGTAGTATTTAAGTGGAAATAAGCTTTTACTATCACATTTAATCAGAAAAAATTTCAGAGAGATATGTGTTTCTGCACTGGCCACTTATCAGAAAAAGTGAAGTCCAGGTGCAGGTTAAAATTCCAGATTAAGAAAAGGAACAGTACACAGTCAACTCATTTAAACGGGTCAAAATGCTGATGTCAGATTTTTGCAGCAAATGCCATCAAAAGAAGATTAAGATATTAAAAACAAACAAAAAAATAACCCTGGCTATTTCAAAGCACAAAGCCATTTCTGTAGGAAAATACTTGTTTGTTAACCATCTCTAGACTCTGAAAGTCTCCCTAGAAGACACGCATGGTTGTACAGTGCTTGCTATGTGCAGGTGCTTCAAATTAGATAAACAAGGCCAACAGCCATCTCTTAAAAGGAGCAGGGCAACGCTTGGCCCTGGTAATACTGGTCCTGGGTTTTAGCTCATGTATCTGGGCAGGATAACCTGGAGCAAGAGCAGTTTCTTGAGTGCTTGAGCCTCTTTCTGGTCCTTGTATTTCAGCTAAGAAGGAAAATTTTCAGCTTTGGAGCTCAGAGGAAAAGGTAGGAATATTGTTGCTTACTGTAGGTTTAGGATTTGCAGTTATACAGGTCAGTGTGACCTCGATGGGGAAACTGTCAGATTCTCAGCTGGGGTAAATTTAACCTCCTGTAGGAATAAGGCAGGCACCAGGTGACTAATTAGTCTGTATTGTCTCTCTGCAGAAAGCATGTCTGGTGTTTTGTATTAACTTTTAGTGTCATCTGTTCTAATCTTGTCTTCAAGAACTCAAGAAGATGCAATAAAAACAGCCGTAAGCTTGGAGGAGAGGGTTGGGGAACACTGAGTGTATTTAGTATTCATAATTCATTATTTTAGATTGTTTAGATTTTGTGGTGGTTTGGTGAGGTCATTTTTAACATCGTCATCAGTATTGTACTAAGCTGCTCTTAAAGGAGGGAAAACTAGATATTTGATATTTGAATAGATTTATGCAAAAAGAAAAGTAATGTTATATAGGGGTTTAAAGGTCACATTGCACAGTTCATTTGTGTTAATTTGTCACAGTCTTAGCATTTATTGTTGGGGTTTTTTTAATCTGCCCTTTTATCTGTGCCTCTGTAACCAGGGTTATGTGGTGTTGTTCTGGAATGGGAATGTTGTGGCAAAATTAACTGTATTAAGTAGAAAATACATATGTGACTGCAGGTGGAATAAACAGAATATTAAATAAGGTGAAATATAGGTGAATGGCAAGTTCACGTGCAATTATTTTCACTGAATGTTTACAAGATCTAGCTCATGTCATTTGAGAAAATAGATGTTTAGGTCTTACAAGTTAGCATTTCATCATGGCTTCTGTTTGTTGCTGATTCTGTTGTATATTCCCTCTACTCCAAAAAAAGAAAAAAATCTGTGTAGGCTATGTAGCACAGATTTGTTACTAACATCACTTCCCGACTGGTGTCTGGTTTTGGCTAGTGTTTGAAGAATTTGTTAATAGAGTCCGCACAATGCACCTGCATTTGAGTCTGAATTTGTACCAAAAAGCAAGCTGCATCTGATTTTCTTTTCTATCCGTCTGTCTATTTGGTTAATGTTCAAGTGTGTGTTAATGTGCCATTCATCACAGAGAGGCCCTTGGGGTTTTTTACTGAATTTTGCCTCTTGAGGATGCAGGAACATATTATCCTAATTTTATAGTGAGAGATTTGGACAAAGATTTGCTTAAGATTTGTGTTAGGAAGCATTTTGAATACAGGCACTTTGAGGTGAGGGGAGTGAACTAAATGCTGACTTGGAAGAATTTTGTAGCTAACTTTTCACCTGTCTCTTATTCTGAAGATAGATATTAGAAGTGATAACCTGTCTCCTGAGCTATAGCTAGGGTCCTAAGCAGCAGACTGACTTTCTGCTTTTTTTCCAGTTTTGAATTAAAATGTGGTTGCCAGATATTGTTCTGGTATTTTGCAAACACTTAGCTTTTCTTTATGCCTAGTTAACATTTATGCATATAAAGTCATATGTGCACATCTAAATGCTTGTCATGCACTATAGCTTTTGTATTTTCTTGAGGGACAAAATAGATATTTCTGTGTGTATAAGTGAGACTTCTAATTCCACCCCCCGTCTTGTGGAATGCAGATGGAGTACAGATCACTGGGAAATCCATCATAAAATATTTTTGAGTTTACCTTTTTTTGATGGACTAGTATTTCTATCTCAATATGCAGTTCATTCTTCTCTTTTTTAAACCGGGGGGGGGGGGAGGGAAGGAAATACTGCCAAAGAGCCATATGATACATACATGGTTTCATGAGTTATGTTTGGAAAAGCATTTATTTTCATGACCTGGGGAAGTCTTAAAGACACTGACTGAGTGCCTTGGTCTGTTGAAGTTGATGGGAATTTGACCATGATAGGACTGGGAATTTAACCAGTCGCCATTGCTCACAGGTAGCTGCTGCTGTGCAATTAGGTAATTTATATTATTGCTTTGATTAAATAAGAGAAATCTATATATTGGCCTGTGGTAAACTGTGCTGGAGCATAGACATGGGGATGTGATCATTAGGAAGAACTTCTTAAAAGACCAAATGACTTTAAATAAGATTGGCTGCAGTCGATATATGCTCATTTAATTGGTTCTTGCAGCTGGAAAGATTTGTTTGGAAGTTGGGCCTGTGAATTGATAGCGGAAGTGACAAAACAAAGCCTTTTTTAAAAAGTAAGACTAAATTGTCATCACTGCTGAAACGCTGTGTGGATCTGACTAGATAGAGTTTTAAGAAATAACAAGAATCAAACATATGGCTTACTCTAATGCTAATAAGGTTAATGGTGCAGGAAGCCTTCAGAAATTTAAAAACTGTCTTAATTTCAGGAAAGAAAATGAAGTAATCTGAAGGCAGAAATTTCTAGAAAATGTGATCAAAATTGCATTATCCTTTGAGGTTATTTTGAAGCTCTTCCTCAACATCTCCAGCTTGTAGCTGTCATCTCTTGCACTGTGGTTCTTGCCAGCTGTGTCATTGCCAGGTCCTTGTTGTCACTTACATCCTTTAAGTTTGGACCCTGTCGTTTCAATGACGCCAAGGAGGTCTTTCTCCAAAGTGTATACTCTGGGTGTGTTCTGGAATCTTTGGAAGATAAACTTTCAGTTTAATGAGCTTTTTAATTTGTGGAGCACATGAGGATGTGTGCTTATCAGCTCTTGTGTTTCACAGACTTGTCAGCCCTCTCCTCCCACGCTCCTTTTGGGATGTCATTTATATGCTGTACAAAGTGCTCCCTCCTGTCCTTCGACTTTCTGAATGAAGTACACAGAGGAAAGCATATTAAGAAAAAAAACAAACCAAACAACCAAAAACCCAACCACAACAACAAAAAAAACAAACCAGCAGCATTCTGGGTTTTCCTTTTTTGTTGTGGTGGTTGGTTGGTCTTGAGCTACTTTATGGCGGTAGCAGCTGTGAAAATCGGTGGGTGCCTCTGGCTGCCTAAGCCGGTTAGGGAGATAGAATATAAAAATCTAAACAGGGCAGATGACAGTCATGAAAAAGACAAAATCTCCGTTGAAGGGGATAGGCTCTGCAGATATTTTGAGCCTGCAGATGTTTTCATTAGGGTTCGATCTGCAGCTGGGGGTCATCACACAGATTTTATTGGAAAGTCAGGAGCTCTCGGTCTTGAGAAAGACCAAATACAATCCTGTTTGGAAGACTATGGTGAGATTTGTGATAAAAAGTCATGTTGCAAAAGTAAAGTAGCCAAACAAAAAGCAGTTAAAAATGCTGCGTCTGGGGGCTTGAGGTTTGGGTTTTTTTTTTTGGTTGTTGTTTTCTGCTAGGCTTATACCATAAGGATATACATGCCATTGTTACACCTGGACTGGAATTTAAACCACTGCTGTACACATCACCTTATAACTAATGAGCTCAGAGGTGTTTTGTCAGGGAACATGCAGTGTGCTCAGCATTCTATTAGACCTCAGTGACACAAACCAGTCCAATGTAGTCATTGCTTACAGC